GGGAAGGAAATGTTTTATTTTAAGTCTTGGGCTGAGAAAGATATTAACACTTAGAACCAACTGATTGGTTTTGGCTATTTTAAGGATTTTGAAAGGTTATCTTTTGAATATAATCATCTGATTATTAAGTATATGCAGTTAGAACAACCAATGATAAAACAATATGCACAGCAGCCTCAGAGGTACCTAAAATAGTAGATGTTTAAGAGATGCATGCTATACTTTAAGTAAAATCAACAATCCAATTTTAAATAAAGATTAAAAAATAGGAAGAAGGTTAATATTGGTAATATGTATGATGTGTGGAATAAGGAATTGGATTATACAATTTAGGGAAACCAATAGCACCAAGTTTTAAGAAACATAAAATATACTTTTTATGACCTAGGGTTGAAGTTAATTCATCAGAAAATTATGTTCCATGTTTATTGGACTCCTCAAAAAAGTTTTAAAAATGTTGGACTTCAGATTTATTGTGTTGCCACTGCAAAATATTTGACTCACAAATTCACATGACTTGGTCATGTTCCTTTATGGCTGTTTTTGGCTTCAGGACATTACATAAAATCATCTATGTCAGATATTTTCATGCTGGTTTTAAAGAAATTATTGTGATGGATTGATTCACAGCTGGACTCACATACTACACTAAATTTTTTTGAACCATGGTTATTGAATAAATCTCAATTGGGTTTGCTCAATATGCGAAACCATAAACCCTGTTGCAAACCACAGGATTTAGAATATTGTGTAACCAGATTTACACAGTATTCTAAACTAAAGCAACCACATTATAGTTTAAAGCAATGTATGACTAGCCATACACAAGAGCTCCAGCAGTAGTTTTAAAAGAAGTCTGGAGCCTGCTGTATTGATGCTCTTGCTATCAGGTTTAATTTCTCCTAACCTGGTGTCTTCTAGAAGATTATAGCACGGTGCTCCCCAAAGCTGGGTAAATTATCCAAAATTGGGTAAAAGTGGTTTGTCTTTGGGTAATGACACATGAACCTATTGAATAGGGCAAACACTTATCTGGCCAGCTGCTATTCACATCAATGAAATAATGCGTTGGTCTGACCAAACACAAAAAGTGGCAGCAGTGCCATTGTCAAATAATACCATTAGTCACCAAATTGAAATCATTGCTACAGACATAAAGGCAGAATTTATTCACTGTATTAATTGGAGTGGTAAGTTTGCTATTCAACTGGATGAAATCATGGATGTCTCCAACGACTCACAGTTGATGGTTTATGTCTCTTACAAGTTTGAAACCATGACTGAACAAGATCTTCTGCTCTGCAAGCCTTTGAAAATTACCTGTAAAGCAATTGATATATTCAATGTTATTCATGCATTTTTTAGTGAAGAAGGTTTAACATGGGATTCCTGTGTGGGAATTAACAGTGATGGCACTCAATGTTGGGTCTGTGTTCAGGCTTTATAGCTCTTGCAAAGCAACACAACCCAAAAAGGCTGTCAACACATTGTATGATTCACTGCCAAGCTCTAGCTATCAAAGGTCTTGTTCCTGGACTAGAGGAAGTAATGAAAAATGTCATTCCCATAGTGAATTTCATCAAGGCAGGCCCTTTAAACATGAGGCTCTTCAGATCCTTGCGTTCTGAAACTGAAACTTCTACATGAGGACCCGCTGGCTCTCAAGAAGGAATGTTCTAAATCACTTTTGATAGCTGAGGACTGAAATTGAGATGTTTTGGGTTGAAAAGAAGCATGAAAGAATTTCCAACAAGAAGTGGTTAGCTCAATTCAGTTATTTAGATGATATTTTCTCCCACATGAATGCTCTTAATCTGCAACTTTAAGGACAATAGGATTTCTGCAAGTGAAAAAATAACAGCATTTCAAGAAAAACTCAAGTATTGGCTAGAAAAAGGCAGAGCAACATAAATTTGCATCCTTCTCCACCCTTTCTTCTTGGAGGATGCTGATAGGGTTGATTTCAGTGAAATCAAGGATGACATGATCATCACTTAACAACTTAACACTTAACAAAACTGTGTTTCAAGGAATACTTTTATCAGTGGATTGTAAACCCATTTTGTGTGACTTGACTGAAATCCCTGACAGTGTCAATGGTTTTAGAGAGCAAATGATTGAGCTTAGATCAAACAGTCAGTGCAAAATCTTACTTGAAGGAAAGGACCATTTGCAGTCTTTCTGGTTAACAATTCACGATGAATATGCTGTGGTAGCTGGGGAGGCCATGATGTAATTATTGCCGTTTCCAAGCATCTACATGTGTGAAGTAGGATTTTCTACTCTTGCCTTCATAAAGAGCAAAAAACAAAACTGTTTGCTGAACCCTAAATATGATGTGAAGTGTGCTCTGTCTCCAGTTGCTCCCAGTTTTGTGGAACTAGTAAATAAGATGGAGCAGTGGCATTTTCCTCATTAGCTGGGACCTGGGTGATGAAATATTCATGGTGAATATTTACCAATTTTCTTGTGGCTGCTAAAATGTTTAGAGATCCTTAAAATAAAGACTGCATCAAACATATTGTTTGCTTCCTATTTTTTACCAATCTCTTCACTTGTCATAAATGTTTTTCTGTGCAGTTAGTGTTTTATCTATATAAAACTTCTTCCAGGGCCGATTCTAGTCGGTGGTGGTTGGGGAGGAGAGATCCTGTCCTCAGCCCCTGTTATGTGGGGTGCCACAGGATTCAGTGCTCTCTCCTCTCCTTTTTAACATCTACATGAGGCTGCTGGTGAGCTCATCTTTGCCCTGGGGTGAGGTATCATCAGTATGCTGATGATACCCAATTATACATCTCTGCCCCTGGCTAATTAAGCGATGCTGTGAATGTCTTATCCCAGTGCTTGGAGGCTGTGAGGATCTGGATGGAGAACAACAGGCTTCAACTGAACCCTGGCAAAACTGAATGGCTGTGGGTTCTGGGGCCTTCTTGTGCTAGAGTTATACCATCTTTGGTACTGAATGGGGTTGCACTGCCCCAGACAGACCCTGTGCACAATCTGGGGGGTCCTCCTGGACTCATGACTCCTGCTTAAAGAGCAGGTGGCAGTCATGGCTAGGAGGGCCTTTGCACAGCTTTGTGTCGTGCACCAGTTGTGCCCATTCCTAGATCAGAGGGACCTAATCACTCACTGTCACTCATGCCCTGGTCACCTCCCATTTGGATTTCTGCAATGCGCTCTACATGGGGCTGCCCTTGAAGAGTACCTGGAAGCTTTAACTGGTGCAAAATGCAGCGGCATGAACAGTTATGTGTGCCCCTAAGGTGGTACACGTTACACCTCTGCTTTGCAAGCTGCACTGGTTGCCAGTTTGCTTCCGGGTCCAATCAAGGTGCTGGTTTTGACCTTTAAAGCCCTTCATGGCATGGGACCAGGTTACCTGAGGGACCGCCTCTCCCCGATACATCTGCCCGTCCCATCAGATCTGGCAGAGAAGGCATGCTGCGGATCCCGTCTACTAGAGAATTACATTTGGTGGGTCCCAGGAGGCAGGCCTTCTCTGCTGTGGCACCCGCCTTGTGGAATCTTCTCCCCCCGGAAGTGAGATTAGCTCCATCCCTCTTAACAGGCCATAAGTCCCTCGAGACCTGGCTATGTGATCAGGCCTGGGGCTCCCAGGGGACCGGAGAGATTTTACGATGGCTCCCTTATTAATTTTATTCCTTCCTGTTTTGTGTGTTTTTACAGTTTTTTATATGTAGTTGTTTTTATGTATTTATTTTTTAAATTGTTGTATGCCACTCAGAGTCACCTTGTATGAGATGGGCGGCTACATAAATATAAATAAATAAATTCCTTCCTGTTTTGTGTGTTTTTACAGTTTTTTATATGTAGTTGTTTTTATGTATTTATTTTTTAAATTGTTGTATGCCACTCAGAGTCACCTTGTATGAGATGGGCGGCTACATAAATATAAATAAATAAATAAATAAATAAATAAGGTAAAATGGAGGAAAAAGTTTGGGAAGCACTGCTATAGTAGCTGGGAATTGTGAGTTTTAGTCCTAACACATCTGGAGGCCACCAGACTGGGGAAGAGCATTCATCCAGTTTCTGTAGGATAATACTGTGATAGGAAGAAGTCAAAAAAAATTCTGGGTTATTTGAAAATATTTTAAAATTTGAGAAGAGGGAAATTATCAGTTTTAAAGACTTGGGGGAAGGAGGGAGAACTGTGTAAAAGAAATAATTTGTTTGAAAAGAAAGGTGGAAAAATAATAAAAGAATATCTAACCACCAGCTGATTGCCTAATAAGTTATCTTCTTATAGATAATTTTTAAATAGGTAATTAAAAATACAACAATATAAACAGAACTAGGTGCATTTAATGTAGCTATTTTTTAAGCAAGATCAAATATTTTATTTCAGCTTGATTACAGTGGCGCTTTTGGTGAGAAGAAATGGTGCATTATCATCTTCATTATCATTATTAAATTACACTTATAGTCCATCTATACTCTGGAACTCCAGTCATATATCTTCATTACAAACGTCTCACGGACGAGATCATTTGAACTGAGCCAAAGTCATCCAACAGACTCCACAATAAAGTGCGGTTTTGAAACTGGATCTCCAGGCCCCAGTCTAACATATCAATCACTGCAGTACATTTACTTTTGCAGGAAGATGTATGCCTTTGATAAATGAAATTATAAAACGAATTTTAAAAATTCCAAACCGAAATCTGACAATTGAGTTAACCAGTTTTCCCTACTGGTCCGAAATTGGTAACTGTGGTGCAACCGGCTGTGAAAATGAGGGTTAGGATCTTTCATCAGCAATAAAAGTTGCGATCTAATTGGACAGACTTCCCGTGTCAAGTTCTCAAAGAGCGGCGGACCGATTCGGGGTTGGGTTATTTTGCTGATGGGAATGAATCCCTTCGCCGTGATTGGCTTTAAAATCTCTAAGCGTCCTGTTGTGATTGGCCGAGGCTGTGAAACGAAGCACCTGCTCTTTGACGCCTGCCGATTCGGGCGCGTGGCGCATGCGCATTGAGAAACTAAGGTGATGCTCTGTGGCAAGCGGCCGTGTTCCAGCCGGGGAAACGCTGACTGGACTCGCAGGAGGTAACGGCTGTAGCCTCTCAGAAACTCTGGGAGGAGCGTCCTGCGAACGGTGCTGGGCTTTGGCAGCGGATGAGGTTGACTGAGCGGGCAACTGCGAGGCGGCGAGCGAGCGAGCGAGCGCTTCCCTCCCCTAAGCTCTTCTCTGCACGCGGAAGGGGTTCCCCCCGCCTCCGCTCTCCTCTTTCCGCGTTCGGGCGCAGCCGTTACTCTGCCGTTGGCGCCCTAAGGCTTTCAGCCTTGGCGCGAGCTGGACCTGTTCTGCTCGGTCCCCGTTTCCCCGGCGCGAGGAGGGAGGCGAAACATAGTGAGAGTTAGCCTTCGCCAGTCTCCTAGTCCGCCCCGTGGCTCCAAAGGGATGCGGCGTCAGTCGCTCTTCCCTGGAGACTGGACTGCCTCCGTGGAGAGCCGTTCCTCCTGGGCGGAGATGCAGAGATCAACACCAATTAGCTTTCGTATCCGAGAAGGGGCCCGGGTGGCGGCGGCTTGTTGCTGCGACTGCAGCGGCTTCGGAGCCACGACGACCAGAGGTCTCCATAATTACCTGCCTTAAGAGGGAGAAGTTGTGGCTAATTGTGCCTAATCGGCTCATTTCTGCTTGTTTGTTAGCATCATCAGGCAAACATGGAATTGCTTTGATTCTAAACAAAGGAGGGCGGCAAGCTCCGGGTAGGAACATACCAAAATAAACATTTCCAAAACATGTTAAGGAGGATTTATTGCTCTTTCATTGTACAGTCACTCTGCTTCAGTTTTGGAGGTTCAGTGCAGAGGATCTAGAAAAACCAAACCTCCATTGATAACCATTCTGTATTTTTTCCACTGCTTTCAGTTTCTCTAATAGAAATTAGTATCTTACAATATTGTAATTCTTTTGATGCATGCAGGAGTATATATTACTGAATTACCAAAAATAAAACAAAAGTTGTATACCATCCACATCAATGGGATCATGATTACTGGTATTTCTACATAACTTACTTCTACCCAGTCTCCCTTTGTCTTCATTGTTCATATCCCTGAGCACAGAGTAATGTGGGCACATAGCTGGGCATTTGTTGCCCTCTGCCCTCATTATTTTAAACAATTTTGTTTAATATGGAAATTTCAGAATATTCCAGATGTATGACTTTGTATTGGCATTTCGGTGATTATTCACAAAATAGCAGTTATTTTTAATTAAATCCTCAATAATGGAACTAAGGCAGGTTAGTATATAAGGAAGTATCCCTAAAAGATAAGCTCATCATCTTCTAGAAGGTTAACAATTACTTTCCCCTCTTCAGATAAGGAAGTATTTAGACAAGCAAATAGGAATAAAGAATACATATTTGCAAATTAATTTTCTTTTTGATTTGAACAAAAAGAAGACAAGACAAGGTGTAGTGCTATTTTCAGAATTGTAAAGTAGTATGAATTTTGAATAGATGTTTTTAAAATGCACGTGCAGTTATATGACACAAGGGTGCAAATGTTTGCAATAAAAGGAATCAGATCTATTAATTCAAATCTTGCAGCTAAACTATAAAACATATAGAACTTTGGAGATGTCTGATCTTCTAATCCAAGTATTTCTGCTTAAATTAATTGTTCCTATTAAGAAAAAAAACATGAAGGGGATGTAAAACATCTGGAAACATCTTATACCTCTTGGGCCAATGTTGGTTTAGAAATATTATGCAGGTAGCAGATCAAAATTCAGATGATTAGCCCCATGAAGCCTGATGATAAAATTAGTACAGTCTCTCCCTTTGTCAGAGTAACTGAAGAATTTTTGAAAAGATACATTCAGCAATATATTATGCTCTAAGAGTAGAATAAAAAAATACCAAAACAGAATTCATGTATAATATGAATTTCTCAGAATGTACTATAAGGAGTTAGCAGCAGTTTTGGAGGCACTAAAAATGCTTTAAATGCTTTATCAAAGCTGAATCCTTGTCCTCAAACTCCATTGGCAAAGAAGGTTGATGATGATCAGTGGCCAAAAAAGGCTGGCTTATTGCTGCTCTGGAGCAAGGGCTAGAAACTATCAGTAAAATAATGAAGGTGATAATCTTAAGGACGCATGTGTTTGGTTTCTATATTGATTAGATGACTAGTTAAGATTATAGTGATCTTAACATGATTTGGCTCCATGAAAACTGGATGGTATTAGAAGCATCAGGATACCCTAAATGTTTGTACTACAATAATGACCTGGTCTTGTACTATTTTTACAATGGATAATAAGATAATGTTTAGCCCTTCTTGGATTGCCTTGATTCTCAAAACAGAAACCAGTAATAAGTAGAGAACATTTATCTCCTAAAATATTTATCTAATATGTATTCTGCTTATTTCTCCATAGGTGTTAAAATATGTTTTTAGATGTGAATCTTCTGCTCTTTGAGTTTTGTTAAGAATATTATTTGTTCTAGTTAACTGTTCATCCACCACAGAAGTAGTAATGCTGAAGGGTAGACTACAGATTGTGTTTTCTTATTGAGTTACAGTTTTTGCTAGTTTCCTATACTGTACTTTTGCTAGAATGTGCCTGATCAATACATTTATTCTGCATGGCTAGTCTTTAAGGTACTATAAGTCTTGCTTCTTTATGCTGATTTGTTTTCCCATTTGCCTTTGCTACAGTGCACTTTCGATCATTTTAAAAATTTGGTGAAAAAAAAAATAACTGACAACTATATACTGGCAGAAATATATTTGCTTCCCAAGGCTGTTTTCAAATGAGCATTCAGATCCTGTCACAGATTGATTCAAGCACTCCACCAATTGTACAGTGCTGTGACTTGGTGTTTTACCATTATGAGAAATCTCAGGTTATCCCAGTTAGCAAGTTTTGCTCTACAAAAAAAATCTCATTTTCAAGGACTGCTGTCAGAGAAACAGGGTTTTCCTCCATTATATCATATGTCTGCAGTCACTGACTGAGACGTCTACCTGTTGCTGGCCAGCAAACAACCTGTTATACTGTTAGCTCTCAGTGCTCAGTTATTGGCAAGGAAGGGCAAGTGCTCATTGATCATTGGGTCTCTACAAATGCTGTAGATTAACAAACGTTCTCTCCCATTGATTCATGGTATATTTACCTATTTAGAAATAGTCAGAGCAGCCTGGTCAATCTGTCCTCATTTTAATTGTGGAATTAGAAGTCATGGGCAATGGAAGGCTGACCATCTGGAAATTGCCCTTACACTTAGTTTAACTTAGTAAATGTTACCAAAAAAAAAAAGGACTTTAATTTTTTGCACCTAGCTAGGTCTATTTTATTTTTACATAAGTGATATGTTATTTCCTTTCCCTCCCCAATATCATTAATATAGTTTCTAGTCTTCTACCTCATTTACCTGGAGGTGATCAATAGGATTTATTTCTGAATATACTGAACTGTAAATTTAGTTCTAATCCTTTTTTTTTTTTTAATATTGACATTTTCATATGACTTTTTTGGTTTTGCAGAGCTAGGTTGTATGCACTTGGGGTTTTTTGAAAAAACTCAGTGATGCCTTTTTCTGATATCATATAGTGATTGTCATACTAAACTACAAGTGCAAACATATAGGATCAAGTCCCCAATCAACAGTAAATTAGGTAATGTGGAGCCACTCATCAACTCTTGGCATAACCTGTTTGTCAGTGAGGAGGTAGTCAATGTGAGGTAGAGGAACTTGAGTTTATTGGAGGAAAGACAAAATTACAGTTTAAATATTTTTATATTGTGTAAAGAGATTAGACATGAACAAATAATTTTTACTTGCTAACAGACAGAATATTTAGCAATTCTGTCGTGGAAAAGGTTTTTTCTTCTTTCTCAGAACTTCTGAAGTCTTTATGTCCATTTCATCAAGATGAATTTGAGAAAAAATTCAGGTTAGTAACAAAATCTCCCGGTAAAAATCCATAAAGCCTTAAGATCTTAGTTTCTTAAACAACTATTACTATAACTTTGTTTACCTGTAAGCAATATTATACACTATTTTTATAGTGATGTACAGGAAATACAAATTGTATATTTTACTCTGTTTCACTTTCAGATAAAAAGAATACTATTCTTTTTCCTAATTACTGTTGCTGTGACATCTAATTTGATTATGTGCCATCAAATTGGTGTCACCTCTTAGTGACAATATAGATAGATTTTTCTCCAGCACAATCTTTCCCCAACCTTGTCCTTTAGGTCTTCCAATGGTGCACCCATCACTGCTGTAATGGAATCCATCCACCTTGTTATTAGTCATCCTCTTCTTCTATATTCTTCCATCTTTCCCAGCATTACAGACTTTTCCAGAAAGCTAGATCTTTGGATAATGTATCCAAAGTAGGATAATTTAAACCTGGTCATTTGTGCCTCAGGTGAGAACTCTGGGTCGATTTGTTTGTTGATCCATTTGTTTGTCTTCTTGGCTATCAGTGGTATTCTCAGGAGTCTTTTCCAACACCAAAATCCAAAAGTGCCAATACTGTTTCGATTCTGCTTCTTCTAAGTACAATTTTCATTTCCATAAACTGTTCCAGTAGAAACCGTTGCCTGCACAATTCTGTTTTTTTTTGAGTATAGACACATCCCAGCATCTGAATATTTTTTCCAAGGCCCTCATTGCTATTCTACCAAGTGCTAGTCTGTGACATATTTCTTGACTGTTGGTTTCTTTACTGTTGACAATTGATCCTAAAAAACAAAGCTATCCACCCTTTCAATATCTTCATTGGCAATTCTAAAACTGATTGTTGTACCTATTACCATTAATTTGGTCTTCTTTATATTTAATCTTAATCCATTTTTTCACTGTGTTCCTTGACTTTCATTGCTAGAGCTTGCAGATCATTTGCATTTTTGGCTATCAGAGTAGTGTCATCAGCAAAGCATAGGTTATTGATGTTTTATTCTTGTAGTTTTAAAACCATACTCAACTTCTTCCAATCCAGCTTTTCTCCATATTTAGCATGTAGGTTGAATAAATAAGGGGAAAGTATGCAGGTAACCCTTGACTTTAGCAACCGTTCAGAGTGAAAAAGTGACTTATGACCGGTCCTAGCAGTTATGACCGTCGCAGCATCCCTTTGGTCACGCAATCAACATTCGGGCACTTGGCAATCGGCATGTATTTACGATGGTTGCAGCATCCCGGGGTCATGTGATCGCCATTTGTGACCTTCCCAGCCAGCTTCCAACAAGCAAAATCAATGGGGAACTGCATGATTCACTTAACGACTGCCACAAAAAATATTGTAAAATTGGGTGTGGTCACATGATGCCTCACTTTTCCAGTCCCTTTTGTGGTCATAAGTCAAAGACTACCTGTACAGCCTTGTCTCACTTCTTTGCCAGCCTGGAGCCAGTCTGTTTCACCATATTCTGTCCATACTGTGGCTTTCTGTGCATAGGTCTCACATGAGGATAATGTGATCTTCTGGGATTCCCAGTTTTCTAACCTATTTCCACAACTTGATGTGACTGACACAATATAAGTCCTTTCTATAATCAAGGAAGCACATACTGACTTCTCTTTGGCTTTCTCAGTTATCCAGCATGCATCAGCAATAACCTATCATATTCCTTGGTCTTTTCTAAAGTCAACTTGAACATCTGGCATCTCCCATGTAGGGCTCTAATCTGTGTTGGATGATCCCAAACTATTTTCTAGCATGTGAAGTTAAGGATGTTGTACAATAGTTTAAACACTTTGTAAAGTCTTTCTTTGGTATTTCTTTGACTTATTCCAGTTTGTTGGCCATTCTTTAGATTTGCTGGTATAGCTTGGTTAGAACCTTTACAGATTCTTCTTTTGTTGCTTACTATATTTCATCAATTTATTTATTTATTTATTAAATTTGTCCCCGCCCATCTCCCCCCAATGGGGGACTCTGGGATTCATGTAGCCTTCCGACTTGGTAATGACTTGGTAATGACCAGATTAACTTCATCTTCTAGTACTAGAGGCTCTTGTAAGTAATGAATATTTTCTAAGGTATATTGGATGTTGACATCTTTACTGTATAGAATTTCAATATACTCTTTCCATTTTTGTTTATATTCTTAAAATAAGTTACTGTCCATTGGTGTTGTTTATTATACCAGTTCTGAACTCGTCTCAGTGCAGAGATCTCTTGGAAGACTTTCCTTATTTTTCCATGTCTGTTTTCATCCTCCATAAGTATCTAATAAAATACATATACTCATTACTGCATGTGAGTGAATGTATGTGTATGTATTTATATGGATGACATAGTAGAGTGCCTGCAGTTGAACACAAAATACTGCATGTGAATTTAATTCACTGCTACCCTGGCAGTGAGATACATTAAATGCTGAGTTTAATAGTTAAGTTTGTCTGTGAGAGGTAAACTTGGATACAATTAAACTTACTTTGAGAATCAGATTTTCTTTGTATTGTTACAATAAGAATGACTGTACCCAGGGTCTAAGAACCTTTATAATTTTCTATCTGGAGTGGAAAGAAATTGAAGTTTGGATTATGAAACATCTCTTCCCTTATGCCTGTGTTCGCAGTGCAGCCTCAGCATCTAGATTAATCCAGTAAATTTAGCTGTCTAGAAAGATAAAAGTAGAAAATCTTAGCAATTGTTTGGTTTATCTTAATCTTTAAAAACCTGGTTTGTTAATAATAATGCAATTGTTATAATTCCATTTTACAGGTGGCCAGAATGCAATTTCAGTGGGATTGGTTATGTCTGAGTCTCTTGGTATTAAGCTCAGTAAGTGCAGAATCTGAAGATCCAGAAGTTGAAGTGGAAGATTTTGGCCAGAATTCAGAAGACACTGAGACAGGCATATCCTCCATGGAGGTAAAACCTTCACATATAAAGTTTAAAATTAAGGATACTTGACTCTAGTATTCAGTTTATTATGACTTTTAGAAATAATAAAACACCAAGATTTTTTAAATTCCTGGAAGTTTATTAAGACATATCACATTACTACTTTTGCTTAAGCATGATTAGCTAGCAAAACATAGCATTGCTGCTTATGTTTGCACAGCTCAGTCCACACTGAGAAAGCATCCATCAATATGTGTTTATGATATGTATATATGATAATATATACACTGTCAAGGAAACAAGAATATTCCTAGATTTTTGCAAATTTCACTTATATTTACAATATCTATTACAAACCAGAAACAGTATTAATTAGTCATTCTACTTTTCAGAAATTAGATTAAGAATCTAAAATTTCACTGAACTGGTAAAAAGGGTGTACAGTAAATATTTGCTACCTATTAAGTAATGCTTCTCAAAATAATTCAATCTTGATATATTGCTACTCTACATCTGCTGCTTTAAGTCACTAATTCCAAAAGCAAGTATATCATATATGTTGTTTCTAGATCCAGAGAACAATGTCACATGGGGACTTGGAGTCTTCTTAATTTGCCTTGTACAGTTTATAAAGAAGGCTGCTCTGAAAACTCATACATAATAAATGAGTTAGCTTCTGAAATATCAAAGAACTATTTTGCTTCATAAATTTAGGATACTTAGTAATTAAACCATTGATTTGCTCTGGAACATAAAGGTCAATTATAAATGAATTATAAATGTAAAACTTAGACTGTAATAGTTTGAGTCTGTAGTTGTGTAAATGCTACCATCTGTGCTATTAGAAGCAATACTAGCATTTCTGAAAAGCTGAACAGTGCTCTGAACACAATACTATCACTGCTGAAAGCCTTATATGAATTTTCTCTCTGACAGAAGGAAAGCCACAGGAATATATGTTTGTTTGGTATTTTGCTGATAGGATAGACTCCATTCTCATGGAATGAATTTCTTGGTTGATGTGCACAAATATTTAATTTCCCTTTAGCCCTTTTAATGTATTCACTTGTAGGTTCTGATTCTTAATATAATTTCTGTAAATATTTGGTAGGTTGTATACAAAACACCAAAGGCTACAGGAGAAGTGTATTTTACTGAAACCTTTGATGATGCAATATTGTCTGGGTAAGTGCTTCTCAAATGGAGCCATAAAGTCATGAATACTTGCAGTCTAGATGAATAATTTATAGTTTGCTGCTCATAATTAGTTATATGTTGCTGATATGTTTGGAGAGTTTTTTTTTTTTTTTAGTAAATATAAATATAATGAAGATACAATGGAACTAGGAAGATTCTTAAGCCTTCTCCCCAGTCTACTTAACCACAGCACAATTATGTCTTGGCACCATTTTTTCCTCTTGGCATCATTACATTCTCCTAATCTTATCTCTAACGCATGACTAAGTCAGTCGTTGTCATTAGTTGTGTTAATATAAAAATAGCATTTTCCCTATTTTTTTGACATTGTCCAAGGACAGCCTTCAGATGTGTAAAATCTGGTATGCTTTGCCATCAATTACCTTAGAAGTGAAGTCAACTGAGTAGTGAGTGTTATCAGAGATGTGTTTGGGTTGTATTGAAAGGCACAGGTGCATCTTCTTTCTGATAACTAGCCAGTCTCCACTGCAGCCATTTTCCTTCAGTGTTTGCCTTCTCTGTTAGCACTTAGTTCCATGAGTTCCTTTCATATCCATCACCTCCTCCATTTTTAATGCTAGCTGCTAAGGCAGAGAGGAAGGAGAGCTCTGTTAATTCATTTGTGGAACAAGAAGAGATGGGAGTAGTAGTCCCTAATTCCATTCTGAAATGCATCTTTACCATAAGATTCAGCAGCTCCACTTTTCATCATTGCATTATCCAGAAAATAGTAATGAATTATACTTTTGTTACTGTTTTTCTTGAATTAGTTAGTCCCCCCCACCCCAATAACTAGTCAGTCTCAATTCTCCTGCTCTAAGGGACCTAACTAACAATCATGGCAAGAGCTGCCTCCCTCTTCTCTGGAGCTATTTCTGTCTATGTGTTTCCTATATGTTTCTTTATTTTACATTATTTCAACTTGGAATAGGCCCAAATTACAAAATTATAACATAAATTAAATGAAACAAAATTGTAACAAAATGTGATCTTGGCAACATTCCCTATAATTAGTTATGCAACACAGGCAGAGAATGTAGTAGATTTGATAAATAGAATGTGTGACAAACTCTGAGCTGAAATTCATAATATAATTAAAGATAAAACAAACAAAATATCTCAAAATGCAGAAAACAAAAGAGGGCAAAATGGCTGTCTTCTAGCATATTGAAAACAGAAGGGTGAAAAGCAAAAAAGAGGAAAATTGCCCAAAGAAGAGCAAGAAGAGACAAGAAGATAAATCTAAATAAGCATTGCAAAGAAATTGAGCATAACAATAAAATGGGAAGGACAAGAGATTTATTTTTAAAAATTCAGAAAATAAGAAAAACTTCCATGCAAAGATAGGCACGAAGGCAGAAATCTACTGGAGAAACAATATATAAAGAAGAGATGGCAAGAATATATGGAAGAACTATACACACACTTAAAATGCCCAAATTAATGATACATATCAAGGCTTGATCACTGAATTAGAGGCAGATGCTCTGGAAAGCAAAGTTAAATAGGCCCTAGAAAATATTGCTAACAACAAAGCTGCAGGAGTGTGTGTGTGTGCGTGTGTGTGTATTTATATATTTCAAATGTAGATACTGCCCATCTCACAAAAAGTGACTCTGGGCGCTTCACAATAAAACAGCAATAAATATTAAAATA